ATTTCAGATGAGTTTCTTGTTAAAGACATCAGTATTACACGGATTGTGGTGTGTTTAGTCCTATTTGTTTCTGGTCAAAATTGCTTACAAAGAACAAAAGGAATAATTATTTTTTTAGAGAAATCTCATTTTGGCTATGAGCAGTTTGCAAAGTTTTCTTTTTTTTTTAAAGAGTAAAGTGAGTGAGGGATCTTTCTATGCCATCATCGAAGAAACCATTTTTTAAATCCATGACAACTAAACTTCTTTCAAAGTGGGAAATGAACTTCTAGAAAAGGTACTGCTTCCATTGCCAGCCATATACAGTGTAACTCTTGTCATCCTGATAGTACAAAACTTAAAGAAAAGCTGAGCTAGAAGAGAACTAAAATAGTTTATTAGACAGCTGATATGATTGCAACCGGAAAGTTGCTTTTCGATGCATAGATTATAATTAGATCCCTCTGTCTCCAAAGCTGGATCTTTGGTAAACTTCTGGACTATTGCATATTATTTGATATGTTCAGAGCTGATAACCAGCTTTCTTTTTTTTCTGTGTATCCCACTATGATACTTTGCTTATATTTTGCTATAAATTTTATAATGTGAGAAATAGAAAAAGCAGTATACTTTCATGCGTATGAACTCTAAGATTATTTTTTAAAAAAGTAAATGTTTTAATGTGTATTTTTTGAAAACTAATGCATTGCTATTTGAAGGTGAAGGAGTGTTTAATAAGAGGAAAAAACATAATAGAAGAGTAGCATAATTCCATCTTATCTAGCAACTAGGCTAAGATGGCTACATAAGGTACAGGAATTTTGTACCTGTGTGTTCTTCTAACTTCTGATTAAGAAGTACACATATTGCTTAGTAGAAGTGAAGACTTTTGCTGAGAGTTCTAACAAAGGGGAAGATTCAAGCAAAACATACAGTGTTTATGTTGTAAAAAACTTTGTTCAAGTAAGCTGCCATGCAAAAATATCCCCAGCTTTGTTGAAGCTGCCTGGAATTTTTGAGATTTTCATAGGCATTTTTGTGGAATCAGGGAAAAGTCTGCCTTTAAATTAAGAACTTCCCATCAGATGTTCTGTTTTCACTGATGCTTATGTTAGGGAGAGCTGTTAGAAATGACATACATCAGTTCTTATAGCTGTCTGTTCAAGGCTGTCTGTTCCAAGAAGTAGTGCATTTTCTTGCAAGACATTGCTTTGGCATTTAAATCTCAGGAACTGGTTCTGGTACTGGTAGCATAAGTCTGTTATGGCTGTTGATGTAACTCTTCATGAAATGTTCTTCTTCCTTCAGCAGCATTAGCTGTCTCTTAGTATTACTGACTTTTTCAGCTGCAAAGAGAGGAATGAATGGATCTAGCCTTCCAAAGAATATCATTAAAAAGTGCAACATGAATGTTTATAAAATTTGACTGTTTGCTTCCAATATGTTTGAATTGGTGATTATAGTAGAACTGTTTCCCTAAGAAAAGAATGAACTTTGCAGAGAAAATACAGGGATTTTGAAGAAAACATAAACCAGTTAAGGAGGTCAGAGTTAAACTCTAATGGTTGGAATTGGTGTGTTATTCACAGTGAAGTTACATCAAGAAGGACCAGAGTAAGTTGACCAGTATATGTAGGAATTATTTTGCCAAACAGTGCACAGTAGTAATTTGTGAGAGTGCAGTGTTGGAATGTTAAAAAAGAAGTCCTCTATCTCGTGTCATGTGTATGCCAAATGAAAAATGCTTCTGCTGGCTTTCAAATAATTATGCAACCTAAGCCAGCTAGAGCAAAAGTGGCACTGTTAGGGGATGGATTCAGCTCCTAGTTTCCCAAAAGTCATCTTTTCGAGCAAGATAGGGTTTCTGGTCTGTAAGTTGTCTCTTGTGGTTTTTCTCTCAGTAAGTTTTGTGTTTAAAGAGGAAAAAGTTTGGTTTAGGCAAGTAGAGAGAAGTAAATAAATATTTCTGTGTGTCTTCTGTAAATTATTTAACTTTTTTGTTAGCAGAGTTTTTTTGAAAGTAAAAAAGTACTGTTGCTCTATTGGCTGTAGTAGTTACAGAATGCTAATGTAAACAGAATTTGAATGTTTCTATCATTATCTAAAAATCTAGAAAAACATCTAATAGATTCCTCTCTGACAGGTCAGTATTTTCGCAGACAGTCTGTTTTCTTTCAGCTATAAGAGGTAGAAATTACCTCAAATAAAAATGTTAGTACAGAAAATCTGGCGATTGGACTCCTTCAATCACCTGTCTGAAGCAACTGGTTCTAGGAAGGAGGAGAACAAATCAAATGCTTTTAAAGCGTTGGGATCATTGCATTTCCATGATTTTTGAGTGCTGCTTGACAAGAGCTCTTCCAAAGATGCAGCATATTTTTTCCCTTTCTGGCTAGTTTTCCTTTCTGTGTGTGAAGGTACAGAATCAGTAAATAAATTGGTGTAGGTATAAGTGTAGTATAATTATTGTAGAAACGTGGAATATGCTGAGTTGGGAGGGACCCATCAGGATCATTGAGTCCAACTCCTGGCCCTGCACAGGACACCCCAAGAATCACACCACGTTTAAGTTGAACCTCAGAAAGATAGTAACAAAGTTGATAAGAGTATGGACTGGTTTCTGTAGGAGATATGATGAAGTAGGTGAGTTCTGCTTAGCCTAGAGAAGGAACAGTGAAACTGGGAATTATTTAAATACTACCATTAAATTATATGAAATTGAGAAGATAAAGAAAAATCAATTGTGGATCATTTTCTAATGCAAAATCTAGAGGTTTCCAATGAAGCTAGTAGAAATTAGACTGAAAACAAACAAAAAGTGGTAGCATTTTGGTTGTTTTCAGCAAAAAGTAGTGGAGGCAACCCTTTGCCAAAAGATCTATGGTGTTCCAGGGGCATCCAGAAAAACTCATGGAAAAGAAACCACTTATTAGAAACACTGTGATCCACTAAACCTCAGGTAGTTGGAGAGTGGAAGAGCACTGAAGGGAAAGTATTGCTGTGTTTTCTGACATTTTATATTCTCCTATATTCAGTGTGTTAGAGAGAGGATAACAAGCTTTGGTTTGGTACAGAAAAACTGTTTTATATTCTGAAAGAATGTAAAAGCCAGAAAACCTCCATGCTTAGTTTAGATGCTGTATGAATTGCTTGAGAATCTCAAAAGGAAAAAACAAAAAGCAAAACCCACAAAAATACTTTAAGACTCAATAACAGTTTTGGGTTTTTTTGTCCATCGAAACAAGCAAGATCAAAATTGTAAATGGGAATTTGGAAGAGTAATTAGAGTAACAGTTTTTCTTATTTTTTTTTTTTATTCTGTGCATTTTTTTGTTCTGTATTTTAGTCTGCTGTATTGTAGAAAGACTGCTTGTTGCTAAATGCAATGTTTAAAATTCCCTAAGATTGTAAGGGATAAGCTACAAATATGGACTATCAGGCAAGCCCTGGAGATTTAGTTAATCTGACCTAGATGTTCTTTTGATGATTGAGACCTGCAGTATGTGAAAACACTTCTCAATTTCAAAATGAAACACAAGGATATCTGTTGTATAACTCAGCTGTCCTTGTAGTGACAGACACATCAATCATTTCTGAACAGAAAAGGATTTACTATAAAAAGTTTGTAGGTTTGGAGCTGTTGAGTTCATTGGCATTCGGATCAGCAATGATATTGGAAGTTGTAAGTGAATTCAGCATTTGAATTTTACCATGTCCTAAAGAGGATTAGCTACAAATGCAGGCAACATACTTTTTTCTTTTTCATTTTCAAGAGCCTGTTGCGTATCAAGAGCCTGTTGTGTAAGATGTTAATTCTTTACTTAGTTTTAAGCATATTTTATGTGAAACTGCTTGTATCTCTTAAAAAACACTGAACAGGTACCTATAAATATAAATAACTGTGGGGAGGACAAAACTGAACAAACAATTAATTGGGATAAAAGCATGTACCTGGAAAGCAAAACTGTGTTTATATATACCACTTTTAAATACTTGAGAAGCTACTATTTTTCTGTAACCTCTTGGGTGGAGACTATTTTTTAGTACAGCTAAACACATAGAGATGCTCCATGTTGAGGATCTGTGGAGTTAGTGTCCTGTTTTTTGCAAAACCTTACAATGACTGCATAAAATGGTTTGGGTGATTGGTAGGATTCTATGGCCTAAGATTTACCCTGCAGAACACTGTTTCCTATGTATTTAGCAAATTTTAACAGTTTTGATTGAAGTTTTGTATGCTGGTTTTCTGGTGTATGCTGAATTATTTCAGAAAGATGCAATGGTAATAATTCTGCAGTTGGAGAATATGGGAAAAGGAAATTATTTGTATTTAAGGGTGTTGGTAAATTGACTTTTTCAATGGTAATGTTTCCACTGTTTTTGAGCTAAGACTTAATATTTCTCAGAGCTTTTTGTTCAAATTGCCACTTCTATGCAAAGTAACATTAAAATTTTGGAAGTTACACTTCACATTTAAACAGTAGAGATTTCTTACAATAAAAGCTAAAAGCAAGCTAAAAGCCTTCAAGAGTCAAAACATGTTTCTCTGTAGGGGTGAACAGACATTTCCTTGGAATTACTTTGAGCTATATTAATGTGAATCTAGACACCTGAAATGAAAGCCAAGTCCTCTCTGTAAATGATCCTTTGCTAAAACAAGGTAGTTTAAAGCAAATAAATCCATGTACTCAGTGGGAGGAAAGGGTAAGATGTAAAAATGATGGATGCTTTGCACACTTTTTTTTTCTCTAACTTGTTTTATATATGTTGGACATGAGTCCTGGAGTGCTTGTAACATGTTTCTTTAAGAATTTTGACTTTTCCTGTCTTTTTTTAAGAGTTTATTTAAGTGGAAGAACTACTTCTCAGTGGTGCCGAGAAGGTACAATGTGGTAGTCTGTACCAAATGGAGTTCAAGCAAAAACCATGAACTTTTATTATGAATACATGTATTATGTTTACTTTTCCTTAGAATGTTCTATGTGAAGTAACGTGTTTCTTCTTGTGGAAATATCTTACAGACTCCTGGCTTGAGAGCACACTCTGGAAGATTGCAGTGGTTTGCAAAAAAGTGTATATCAAATAATCAGGTATGTGACTCATATGATGTGTTCTGTGGAACTGTCATTATATTCCAGGAAAAATTGTTTTGAAATATTTCCTCGCTTGACTTTTATGTTTGTGAAAGGACATGTGACAGGCTGATGAGGTGAACTTAATGTTTGGTGTAAATGCTGGTGTGTACTTAAACAGAAATATTATTTTAGCTGAATGCACACATGCTATCTATGTATTTCTGTTTGTGCACATAGAAAAATAATTGTTCGGCTGAGGTATAACTATGTTCTTCCTTCTTTCTTTTGAAAGATGGAAACTTTGGAGCATTTGGTAGAATTAACTCAAAATCTATTTGAATGTGATCGAGATGAGATGTACTACTACCTGCTTCAACTGTGTGGTAAGTGAGCTTGAGATCTCTTTCATGTTGTAATCTGTTTTCTTTTGTGGATGGGGATAGGAATTAGCCTTGGGGAGAAGTTACATATTGATACGCGATTAGCCTGGGTGCCATTTCTGAGGCATCTTGCAAGTGAGGGGAGGTCAGGTTTTTGTTTTTACCTGCAGACCTGAACACTTATGTAGCACTTATATAGTACAAGTCTTCCAATCCGTACTATTGTCTTGTGTTGTAATTTGAAAGTTAATTCTGTTTTGCTTCTCAATATGCTTAAAGAAGAAAACCTGCTCATATGTTCTCTTCATAGCTAATAAAAATCTGAGGTCTCCTGATTCGGAAAGGTGCATATATTTATTTTATTTACCAATTCTTCACCAGCCACAACCTAACTTTTGCATCATTTATAGTAATGGAACACTTTTTAAAACTGAAAGTTCATTTCTGTGTTATAGACACATAGGATGTGTCTGTAGTGGTTTTCATTCCTCTTTTCTGTACTTTTCAGTCTGTGCTGGTTTTGTTATTCAGTGTATCATAATAAAATTTTTGAAGCCTTTACTTATTTTAAAGTCTCGAAAAAATGTATTGTTTTAAAATTGGATGTGGAACACTAAATAGTAAATCAGGACATAAAGCTTTTTAGTGATTGCTATGTACATGGGTAATATATGTGTATATATGTATTAATGAGCCATTATAGCAACTTGATATATTTGGTGACGGGAAAGCTTTCTTTTGAGCTTGAACTAATTTTAGGCTGTTCCTCATGTATATTTTGGATTGACTAAGACTAGTGATGCTGTAATGCTAAATAAAATACTACTCAAACTGTCTTTTTTCTTTCTATATGGTAATGAAAGAGACCTCTTCCCCACTGCACTAAGCTCAAGCTAGAGAGATGAGTACTTCCACAGAAAAAGTGACCAGAGACCCCTTGAGAATTTTACTGCCTTTCATTTCCTGAAGCCTTGGAAAGCTTCAAATGAAACTGTCGCATTACCTAATTCTGGCTTTGCACATACTGGTTCACCATCAAAAATCAAGTAGGCCTGAAAATCAATCTTGTCTCAACAGGGAGGGAGCCTTCCTATTTCTCTGCTCATCCTGTTCACCTCTGGCGGTGACTAAGTCTGACAGTGTGCCTGCTAGGAAGAGAATCTAAGAAGATACAGTTTATCAAATTCTGTCATGCAAAATCTTCAGTCTTCTTTCAGAAGACAGAACCAATTCCATCTATTCAAAGAAGTGGAAAACATTTGTAGGTTTCTGTCACCACGAAAGACAAAACCCATCCACAATCTTGCTTTCAACCATTTTAGATTACCTATCAAAGCTGCCCCATGCACAAGTGTAGTAGAGTCGTCACTGTGTACCTAAGCCATAACTTCAGATCTATTTTAGACATATAAAAAAAGAACCTACTATCTAGTCCAAGCAGTGATCAAAAATGTTGAAAACAAGGCATTTGATTTTTTAGAATCACAGAATAATTTGTGCTGGAGAGAACCTCAGGAATTTTTAGCTTGGCCATTTCCTGGAGCTAGGACAGCTCCAAAGTCAGATCACATCATGGCCTTATTTAGTAAAGTTTTGAGTGCCTCTAATGGTGGAAATCAAACAGCCTCTCTGGACAATCTGTTCCAGGGTTGGATCATTCTCAGATACTCCATTGCTGCAGCTTTTAACCATCACCTGTCATCCTTTACTGTGCACTTGCAAAGAGAGATTGACTCACTCTTCTCTGTAGCTGTTAGTTAGGTAATTGAAGGCAGCAATTGCATTCCCTGTTAGCCTATTTTCTCCAGACTGCCCAGAACTCATCTTCTTTGACTTCCTCTTCTTCCTGATCTGCTCCAACCCCACAGAAGCATAGAATATCCTGAGCTGGAAGGGACCCACAAGGATCATGTCTGTCTCCATGGCTGAATTTGCTTCAGTTGCTGGGATCTCTTACAGTTGTGGAACTCAAAACTGTGACAGAAGCAACAGTGAAGAATTTACAAAATCTGCATGTATAGCAGGAGAATTAAATCTGATTTAAATAAAATGCCAAGGCAGCTCACTGGGAAGGACATTTCTGCTTTAGAGGGCTCACTTTTACCAGGATGTAAATCAGTAGTATCTGATAGTCAAAAATGCTTCACAACTGGTGACTACAAAGCTAGAAAATGTAATGGCAACAGGAGAGCACCTGCTTAGGTAGTCAGATAGTAGTTAACTGTTTGCTTGAAGTCCAGCTTTCTATTTACTTGCAGTTACGTACAGTGATGCATATATAAATTTCAATTAACAATCAAGAACAATAGAACTGATGAGTGGGGAGGATCACTTCTGTAATACTTTCTAGCTAATTGCTCATTCATCTGAAAATTCATGTAATCTTTGGGGGTTTTTCCTATTTCCATCTTCTAGCATCCTCTATGTATTAAAGTAGTTCAGAACTTTTCAAATTGCTGATCATATGAAGCAGAAGTATATGACTAATTGATTAATTATTTTCCAGAGGCACCTTTTTTGAATCACTTTAGATAAGTATGTACATTCTCAATTGCTTTTATTTGAAGATTTTAATCTTGTTTCAGAGAACAATGATGACTGGGGGAAGGCTGAAGCTGTTTGGACTAAAATTCAAGAAGAAAATATTGTTCCTCGTGAGAAAACACTAACTTTACTTGCTGATATATTTGAGAAAAATGGCCAGGTTGTTCCATTTGAGGTACCTAAGGTAATTGGAGTTTCTTTCCTGGTTAACATCACTTTTGAATGTATTTCTTCTCATAAAAAAAACATTAAACAGATAGCATTACTTTAACTTAAATGTTTGTATGTTTTAAAGGTTAGGCATGAAGATACCAGAAGTTTAAGTGCTACTATTGAGGAAGAAAGAAAAATAAGGATGCTTTGCAGAAAAAATAAAGCAAAAGGTAAACTGAAATCCACTGGATTTTCTTCCCCTTCCACATCCATTTTAAGGTTTCAATTAACTGCAGCGCTCTTTGGTGCAAACTTCCCTGTCTCCAATAAAAACAGAATTGATTTATTCATTTATGTTTGACTTTTGTATAGAAGAGAGGAGTGTGCTTCAGTCTTTGGTTTAGTCTGTGTTTAATCACTGGAAATCCATTCGTATCCATCTCATCCTGAGCAGGGTGACAGAGTTAGAACTAGCTTTACTGGACCTTGCAAAGCAGGGTCAGAATCAATCACAGAATGGGTTGGAAGGGACCACAGTGGGTTGTATGGTCCAACTTCCCTGCTCAAGCTCGGTCATTCTAGAGCACATGGCACAGGATTCTTGAGTATTTCCGGTGGGATCGACTCCACAACCTTTCTGGCCAATCCGTTCCAGTGCTGGGTCTCCTGCACAGTAACAAAGTTCTTCCTTATGTTCAGGTGGAACTTCCTGTGCATCAATTTCTGCCCGTTGCCTCTTGTCCTTCTGCTCAGCACCCCCGAGAAGAGCCTGGCTCCAAATCAGTCTATTTCTAGTATTTGCCAAGGAGCAGAGCATTTGAATGTTCTGGGAATCCGTATTTTCTTCATCTGTACTACAGTAACTAGGTACCTCACTTGAAAGTGGTTTAGAAAATAGAATTCAGTAGCTTTAAAGAATTTAATTTTGCTGAATGAGGAAAATTTGTAAAGCAAGACACCTAGTAATTCTCTGAGTGTAATCAGTATATTTTACAGGTTGGACACACAGATTTTTAAGCTTTGAGTTTTTAAAAGGAGAATATATCAGTCATTGACACATTTAACTTACGTTGTGAATAAAATGACCCCATAGAGTTATTCAGTCTAAATATTCAGTCTGTATAGATTAGGAGTCTGAAATTGAGTCAAGACATTCGGTATATAGCAAGTGCAATATCACATTAAGAATCATGAGTGTTATGGCACAAATAAAGTTAATGTTTTCGGGAGATTCTGCTTGCTGGTAACTTTTGGGAATCAGGCAAAATTAATGAAATGTACTTTAAAACATTATCACAAGAAAAATGTCCCGTGCCTTTGGTGTCCTAAATCAGGTTGAGAGCAGGAGGAAACTAAGTATGCCTTGGACTTTGCAAGAAGACTAGTTTAAAACAAAAATATAAAATCACAGTCTGTGATGACACTGGATGTTGAATTTATCTGTAAACCCTTTCTGCATCTTCTTTTATTTAAAGATGCAGTATTTGAGAGGAGTTGGTCTAGAGCTATTGGGAAGGAAGGAAAAAAAAGACAATGTTGGAAAACAGTTCTCTTCTTGGAAACCATTATCTTGGCCTTAAAGAAAACCTAAAAAGACTAAGCTGTTGCTTTTTTTTATATAACGGTATCATGTAATTTTGGTGTGAATGTAATAGACCAGCTTTTTGATGGGAAAAAGATTAACTCAATCTAGTTATGTAACTATTTCATGAACTTACCAACTCTGACATGTGTTTTGGTAGTCTGTTCTCTGGAGTTTTTGATTTATGCAAAGTCATATTTTCATTTTTATCTTGATTCCTCAGTGAGAGAATACATATCCCAAGCAGTCACAATTTCTGAAACAGATTTGACTGTTTTGAGAGCTGAGACTTTCTTGGCAAGTTGTCACTTTTCTAACAAATCTTTCTACTTGAAACAGCTAGTATAACAGAATATTATTTTAAAACCAAGAAATTTCTCTTTTGAATGCTAATATACTTTAGTAATTTTAGATTCCACCTGAAGAAGACATAAGCTGATAATACTTCAAACATGCTACTTGCACTGATGCAAAATAAAGTTAAGAAAATAATCTAAATAGTATAATCATTCTGAGGTTCAGACTAACATACACAGTAAAACATCCTAGAAGAGGAAAACAAAACCGACACAAAGATTTTTTAGTTCTTCACTGAACAAGTCATTAAAAAAAAATTAAATACATTTCCTTGTAGAAAGAGATCTTGCATTTTAAGGACTGTGATAATTAATGGTATGATGTGCTTGACATTCATGTAGCAAGTCCTTTTCTGTACCCAACCAGTACAAAGCAATTCTTAAACACAGGGTGAAATCGTAGTTAAGTCTGAAGACAGCAGAGCTTTTGTAGGAGTCTCTAAATACGAGGAATTTTTTACCTTGAAAAAATAGAATTTAAACAGGCATTTATGAGCAGAAAGAACAAACCTATCACCAGTCAACTACATTTTTGTAAATCATTAGTTGCATTTGTTGCACATGATACCAGCCAAAGGTTTATTGATACTGTTGAATGTGATTGCTAGTCTGCTGGTACCTCAGATTTCAGAACCACGGAAAGAAAAAAAATGTCTTTCTCTCTGAATTTAAATGTGAAGAGTCTATGAATGTTGGTGATCAGCATCTGAGCAGGCAAGAAAGTTCAGCACATTGCTGCAGGCCAAGCTTAACTTCAGACCTATAAGTAAAAGTGATGAAGGATTTAAAGACCTTTCCTGTGTGATCCTGTTGTTGTTTCACTGGTCTTTTGGTCGACAGTGCAATCACTATTGTAATGTCAATACTGCTATGAGTCATACTCTTATGTCTCTCTCGTGTACGTGAAACTCACATGCACAGAAGTGAATTTAATTTTTCCTGTGATATCCTTTATCTCCATTTATATATATTTTTAATGTAGTTCCAAGCATCCAAGTAGATCATGAATAGCCATGTTAATTCTATTAACTCGGTGTGATGTAAATAACAAATTTTACGTATAGTCATTTCTGTGCTTACATTTCAGGAAGTTTTTATGTATAATCTTTGGTTGAAGAAGTTTAAGATTCAAACCAAAAGGCATACCAGCAGCTTTGGTTAAAAGTCCACAACACACTAATAACTGTGGTTAGCTTGATGCTTCTTGTGTCAGTAAGATTCAAATGAGTTGCCCTCATCTTTACTTTCAAAGTGTAAGAAAAAACTTGATGCGTAGCTGTGAAATTTGTAGTGATAGTCCAGCTATTTCTGGACTAAATTGTAAAGGTTATTGTGAATGTGATTTGAATTAGCAAATGGATTATTTTATGAATCATTAAATGAAACATGCAGTCTCAGTTTAGACATAAAAGAACATTTATGGTTCTTAACACAGCTTTCTAGTGTATGTTACAGTGTGGATGGCAGTTTTAGCTGCATGTTTATAGCTGTATAATCTTGTTTCAGAAAAATAAATGACTGAAAAGTGTGCTTATCATTTTTTCCCCCTTTTTGGTAACATCTTTTCATACACTGACAGTTATTGTGAATGCATGAAATAAAACTGTTAATCAGTCAAACAAATGCAGTGTAGTTTACTTGTTAAATATCTGTATATTTGTAAATTGTATGTTTTGTATAAATCTTGTCGTAGCCAAATAATTTGATCTCCCCATATTGGAGTCACCTCCTATATTATTTGTTAAATGCTGTTGTGATCACGCACCAGATGCTGTAACTATATACCCCAGAATTAGGTGTTGCTTTAAAAATCCCAAGTCTTCCCCTTCTAACCAGCTATGTTGGTACTGAAGCAACAGCCACGTGTAAAGAAAGAGCAGTAGCAAACTTATTCTTCTGTGGAAGTATGTGTCGATTGTTGTGTACAAGCAGTTTTGAACAAGCTGTGATCAGCAGCTTTGGGCTTAAAGATGTAAGCAAAGGATAAATAGATTTAAGATGGACCTTTTGGAATGTGATTTCTTTCTGTGATCAACATTATCGCAATCTGACATTTCTTTTTGACTTTCTTTTTCTTCTTTAGAGGCCTACGATATTTTCATGAAAACAAAAGGGAAGGATGAGTTTCAGTATAATTTTTATGACACCCTTATAAGAGCACTGTTAGCACAGAATTGTCTTCAAGAAGCCATTGAAGTGAAACGCATGTAAGGCTTTTCTTTGTTTGGTGGATCTTTGTTGGTTTGGAGAGGGTGGTTAAACAATTTCTGGATCATTTTCAGGCAAGTCCTTGTCTTCTAATGGGAAAACAGGTCATGACTAGTCATTAGGAGCTGCGGTAAGAAATACGCTAGCGTTTCATAGGGCGATATATCATATTTTTAAAAGGTACTAGAGTGTCAGTATGTATTGCTAATAACTTATTTGAACTAACAATGTGAACAAATGTACTTGGCATCAGAGCTGAAAGTCTACCCTTCTGGCAGTCTGCCTTTTCCTCTTTAGAGCAGTATCCAAACAGACAAGATTCCTTCACTTAGCTGCCCGTGAGCCTTCCCCTCAATGCCTGTCTTACCCTGCCCACACTTCCTGGCAGCTGGCTGCCTGCCAAATGCAAAATGGTACGTTTGACTGTGATGCCAGTGGCTAGGAGATGACCATAAACCTTAGATCCAACTCTTACACTTCTGAAATAAATCCAACCTGCTGTCATGAACTATTAGAATCAACAGAGTTGAATTAACCTTTAGTGAGTTATATGGTACACCACTTGCTTTAATTATTGCCTGTAATGTGTGTTCTGGTCAGGTTATAGGCTTCAAATTACAAGTGTTGTGACTTGTCGGTGTAGAGTTAAGAAGAACAAAAATTTAAGTTTAAGGATTTTAAGTCTTTTGGTTTCTTCAGCAAAAACAAGACTAGTTGTTGTCGTCAAGTGTACTCACTGACTGAATGCAGTGAATTTGAAAGTGCCTGTAGGTGACTTATCTAAAGCATAGAACACTATAAAAAAACCTAATGATTTTTAGACTTAGCTTAGTTTTTGATGACCAGGAACAGTGTAGTATAAAATTATATTTATTATTTTCATGTTTTCTTTAAAAGTGTTTAGACTGGAGAAATGTCTTTCATTGAAAAAGTGTTTGAGTTCTGCATTCAGAAGAACAAATAATATTTTTTCAAATAGGTCACAGTAACTAGGCTTTATGATAAGGAATGTTTGTGCTTACTGGATATATGGCTTATATCAAGGAAAAACTAAAACAGCTTATCAAATTAAGCTCCCTGTAATGGAGGCAACTGATAAATCTTTACAAATAGAAAAAGATGGAGAGGAGATGTTTTAGGATTACAAAGAATGTTGATAAAATTTAGCTAGTTTGTTTCACAGAAAATACTCAAGTATCTAAAGATGTATTGAAAGGTTCTTCAGGGAAGAAGTTTGAAACATTCTACTGAAGATTTGTACATGGATGGACTTCTTCCCTGCTCTGCGGCTTTAAACACTCTTGTAAAGAAGATGCAAAAGTAATGCATATTACCAGCAGGAATTTGCAGATTGGAAGAGCAGAAAGAAAGTGGTTTCTTGTTGCTAGTATTTAAGTTATTCGGAATTCCCACTTTACATAAGTGTTGTAGGAAAAAAATGATTTGAAATATTAAAAAAGTTGGAAATGTGTTTTAAAGGACTAAACCTCTGAACCCTGAGATATTTAAGAGTAAAGTAAATAGAATTTTATAAGAGGTTCTATTCTTGGTCACTGGTCAACCATCATCATAACCCCTGTGCTTTTCAGAACTCTCATCCTCCATGTTGTAGCATAGAAATGCCAAATAATGAGATTCCAAGAAGCCTGTAACAGGTCACTGTTGCATTAAGACAGAACATGCTTAGTCTTGGCAGTGTTCATGATGTATCTGTGTATCTTTTTTCTCGTAACACAATCATGCTTATATTAAGCATTTTCAAAAGTCTGTAAGTTTTAAATTATTCACTGAAATGGAGAAAGTGATTGTGTGTGTGCCTGTGGTTGAGAAATAACAAATATCTGTGTTTTGCACACATTTCTGCATGCTTCACAATTTTTCCAAACGCATACTACAAAGAGATTACTCTTACAAAGTCTAAATGTGTGCAGTGGCCTGAAACTTGTGCAGCTCCTAGTATTTTCATAAAATACTCTTTTTACTGTTTGAAGCCACATCTGAAATGTAAATAATATTTACACAGTCTTACTGTGAGCATTAGCATAGGCAACAAAATAACAATTTTTTTTTATTTAAAAAGGTACAATAATTTTAAAACTTCCCTCCTGTTATCAGAACTGAGAAACTTCCGTGAGAAAGGGATGTGGGAGAAGAAGGAAATAACATTCCTACTCTGCATTTGGAAAAAAACAAACACTAAACAACTCAGATTACTGATCTGTTGGTCAGTCCAAGTGTAGTTGCTTTCACATTCTAGAGCTGTTTTGAGGAATATTTACTGCATGTAGTCCAAGAAGTTTTAAATAGAAATTTAGGAGTATTGGAATGATGGATTAGTTCTGTAATAGTAGCTAACATCTATTTAATCACACTAAAGATTGGAAGATTGGAGAAAGTAAATCCTTTGTTATATGTAATTTACAGTCTCATGCATGAATTGTTGACTTAAGGGCTTTGACAGATGGGACAAAGGAAAAAAAAAAAGGCGGAACTGAGCAGTGGGTGCTTAGGCAGGGATTAAGGGGATTGGTTGGGAGAGTAAGAAAATCCTGAGTCCAGTGACTGCATTTGTGAGCCTGGGAGGCTGAAAGTGACTGAGAGGATAGTCATATTGTGTGCAATGTGAAGGATTTTCTTGGGATTGAGGAGAACAATTTAGCAATGACCCTGCTTACCTCCCAATCCGCTCAGCCTCTAAGTTCAAGTAGGTAGGCTGCTCAGTTGTTTGCCACAAGATGATCAGTGAGGTTTATCTTGATTGCTGATATGGTAAATGGCAATGCCCCCCTTTGCTCTATAGAGATTTTGTAATCTAGAAATGAACATTTGTAAAGTTATCCTTATATATTAAAAATGGGTCTTGGCTGTATGTCATTTAGGAACTGGAACATTTTGTACTATAAGACCAATGTGATTGCTGGTTGGTCTCTCTTTACTAATTTCCAGAATGTTAGAAAAGCTTTAGCAAGGTCATTAAAGATTGTTTTTGTTATATACGTGCGTGAAGTTTTGTATTAGAGGAGATAAAGAATTGATAAGCAAAATACAATTTTACCGTGGCTAAGGCAGCAAATGTAGGATGTTCACTTTAAAACCTGTATACATCTAGATGACAGAAATTTGAAAATTAATCAACCAAATGACATGGTGTTAGTTCATAATATGCTTTAGTTTATGTTTAAAATATACAGTGCTGAAAATAAATGTTTCATTTTTTTATTGCTGAAAGAATAGTTTTATATTTTATAATTATGGTGACTATTGAAAAAAGAAGAAAAAGTATCCAGCTTGGGATATAACAGAACAATGCAGGGCATGCAGTTATTTTAGTCATCTAATATGTCAGCATTCAAGAATCTGAACCGATTGTTTAAAAAAAATCTTGTACTTTGTTTCTTTTGTTGCTCACTTCCAACTTTGTCATCTGTCAGAATGCAAAAAAAAATTATCCTTCTATAACCATTGACAGGATAACACAAAAGCTGTCTCCAGGTCGATATTTTGCAGCAATATTTTTAACATACGAACAGTAGTTTTTATAATTTCACCTTGGTGCTCAACCATTTATTATCGTATCAGAAGCATGTCAGTAATTCCTTTCTAAATGTCTGCTTCTTTTAGTGCTGAGACCCACATCAAGGGCTTCACACTGAACAGTGCTGCCAGCAGCCTCCTCATCATATCGCAAGTTAGGCGGGATTATTTGAAAGGTATGTCACAATGCTTGACCTTTACGTCACATTAATGCCTCTGCAGATTTTTCTTGTAACGCCCTTCGAATACTTGGATAAAGGAGTCCATTTAGCAAATTACCTGCTTATCAAGAGCCTTTTGTGGTAGCTGAGAGACGTAAATTACTGTACATGCATTTATAATACAGCTTGAATATGAATGTACTTGTCATTTGACCACTTAGTCCAGTTTCCATTCCATTTAACACAAGATGGGTTTTCTTAAGATGAATCACAGCTCTTCAGACATGCAAAATTTGTGCTCCAGAACGAGAGAAAGTACAGGCTTTCAAGTGTGTTAAAATTCACAGCACAAGTCATTTTGCTTTGGAAATTAACATACTTTAGAGCATCTGAAACAATTCCCAGCAGTTGTTTCTTGCATATTGTGTTGGTTGTGTGAGATACCAGATGAGTTAAATTGACTGTTAAATGTGCATGATTGTGCACTAAATGATTATAATATTGATTTAAAAACTTAATCAAATACTTTTTAATAGTTCTCAATACCAAGAGTAACAAAATATTCGGCTTGGTTTTCTTTTTAATGTAACAATGATGATAGGAAAAAAAAATGGTGACTGAGAAGTACGTAAGAGTAGCCAGCAAGATGGTGGATTAAAGTTTACAGTTGTTTTGTTTTAGTTGTTGGCATTGATTGCTTTGCAGCCTAGAGGTCGCCTCTGCAGCCTTACACTTTACTTATTTAGTTGTACTGTAGAACTCTTGCGAGAGTGGAAAACTCTGCAGGCACATAATTTTAGTTGGAGTGCAGTGCTGTGCAAGTCTTAAGTACAGTGTTGATACATACTTTTGTCAGTACCTTTAAGCATTAAAGCAACTGTGTATGACTTAAATGTATTATTTGAGTTGGGTATTACAAGGCATACCAGAAAATCCATTTTTGATTTTGCCATCATTTTATTTCATTCCATTTTGTGTAGCTGTAGTAGCCCATACCCGTGTAACATCAGCTACATTAAAACACTCAAGATGAGCGTTTAGACACATCTTCTCACTTGTACTCTTTCTTTCCTGTAGCTGATAAATGCCTTCCTCATTCAGTCTCCAGTTTTACATCATTGCCAGTTGTCATCGACTGAAGTGTTTGGTGAATGCAGTTGCTTCTCTCGCTCTTGGCAGATCTTTTTTTTTCAGCTTTCACGGCTGACTTTCTGTCTCATTTTATTCTAATTTCTCCTTTTTCTTCTCCAGTATGCCATAAAGTTTTACCAGTTCTTCCTTACTACTGCACACCAAAATTCTTCCCTTCTTCAGAACATCACTGATGTTTCTGTATTCTGTCAGTCCGTTGCACTATGTGGGATTTTTTTAGCTAGCATATTAAATTTTCTACCATATCAACTCTCTTCCTTTCTGTACTCTAAAAAACTTTCTTTTTGCACAGTACAAAGTTTCTCAAGAAGTTTACATCCCTTTGCAAAATTTTATTTTCCTTTATCTTGTGCATAGAACAAGCTTTACTCTGGTAATTTCATTGAATAGTCAGACTTGATCCTTGTTTCTATTTTAATTTGAAAGATACTACCTCTCTTTTTCTAAGTGAAGCCTTTAAAATGCAAGCTACTAAATATTTCAACCATATTGGTCATTTTCTGAGGCTCATAGATTACCCAAAATATTTTTGGGCACAGTGCTTTTGTCATCTTTGTTGGTGAGCTCCATTTGACCTGCATCCTGTGATGGCTTTCACTTGCGTAAAACCTGCTTGCTTTAACACTTCCTCATATAGTTCACCACATTATTTGCTGTGTAATGGGGTATAGTTCAAAGTTTTTTATGTAGGCCCCTAAGTATACTAACAAGAACTCTAATACCTTCTAGTTTTTTGGTAAAAACCAGGTTACTTTAAAGAGTCACAACTTCAGATTCACAGTAGGAAATTTGCAGAGTTTATAGGAGAAAGCATTTTGAAAGATGAGTGGCTGGTTTTCACAAGCAGAATTACCCAGTATGCTACCAGTACGTAATTTCTTGAAGTAGTCTTGCACATATGCAACTTTCAAATCTTTCTCTTTCCTTGTTCTTGAGAAGGCTGGTCGTGCTCCATGCTAGAGGGAGGTCCACACTTACAGTCAGGAGACAACTTGAACATTGGCATGTGGTCTAAAATTGGGTTTTAAGTATTGCGAATCTTGCCCCTGATGTGTTTGCTCCTTTTTTTTTCCCTAACAAGAAGGAGAGGGGGGCAGAAAGAAAATTTCCTCTGAAGGAAGGCTAGGCATACAGGATGTTTTTTCTTATTGTCTTGTAAAAGGTAATACTTGGTTTCTGCAGTACCTGCATATTGAATTGGAATGCTAATGCTGTGGAGTTCATGTGGGTGTATATTATGTTAGAAGTGTTATCCCTTGGTATTATAATTATCATCTGTGACTAATCCTGCCTATGCTGGTAGGGAGCAAGAGATTTTTACCAGAGGGGCATGTCTTTCTGTGTGTGTTTGCTCATGTATAACATAAATTGACAGGAATTCTGCTTAGAGAAATAAGGGTGACTTCGTCTGCTGTGGGTTTGGAGAATTTGTGCCAGATGGACAGGAGATCGACTTTGTGTTTTTAACATAGGTAATCGCTATAATCTTTGGAGTTTTTGAGGTAATTGCTGAGTTCTGAGTTTTTTGTCTTGTATGGAGGCTTGTGTCCCATACTTTTAGTTAAAAATTAAATTTTGAGAAACAAAAGTTTTGGTGCACACTTAAAAAGACAAATCTCAATATAATACTTCAGTTTCAATAATGAACTACATTTTTGAACTATATTTGTTTTTAAGTATTCAACATTTTTGGTTTTTAATAAAGAAAACTGATTATAGTTTGGAGAAAAAACAAGGTAAAAAGGTCAGGACTTTGAAGTCATAAGGGAGGGACATGTATGGCACAGCTGATTTCTTTAGGCTGGTTACTAAAAGAATATTGCAATCTTAAAAGTAGCTTAATACCTTTTATTTATGAAAGATTACGGGATTTTAACCTAAGTTATTGTTGGAAGTTTTTATTTGTATGTGTATATATTCAAGTTGGAATTCACTATAGCGATTTTGAGGCTGAAGTTTGCCAAAAGAATTTTTTTCTGTACATGTTTTTAAGCGGGTAGGATTAATGATACCAGCAGCATGGTTGCCTTCTGAACTAAAGTCTGATTTCTGCTTGCCTTGTTTCTTTACCGTTGTTAGATGCCTTGGCTGTTTTAAAAGGAATGCTTGACAGTGGCGTGTTGCCTTCCAGACCAGCAGTTACTGCTCTCGTTCAGGCTCTGGCAGAAAAAGGAGATCTAAAGAACCTGCAAGCACTTAAAAACATGCTGGAAGACATCACAAAATCAATTGGTCTCTCTGCCTCACTAATGGCTAATGCTATTGCATTGGCTCATATGAAAACGTAAGTATTTCTAGGACTAGTGTATGTAATTCTTTTCTGCAGAGTGGTGGGAAATCTCTTATATTATCCATTTAGTTCTATTTCCATTCTTACAGTGTCCTAAATGTTAAAATTCTGGTCAACTTGAGTGTACCATGCAGTTCTGTTCTGGTATTGTTTCCCAAACACATTTGGGGCTGAAAATAATTTAATGAAATGCAGGGATAACTGTGAAGCATTTGGGAGAGTATAAAGTCTTCTCTGGTGCTGTAAGTTAGCTGTGACACCTTTGTTCTAATGTACCTGTAAAGAGTGTCCTTGGGGTTAGATCAAAAGCATCTATGAAATCTGAACGTAAAATTGAATGTAAAACTGAATCCTGTGCTGATTTAGGCCACAGTTTCAACTGTGATAATTATCCCCACATTTCAAGTATCCTGTGACTCAACTGTTTAATTCCATATCGTGCTCTGCCTGGCATTTCTGGTTTAGTTGATACATTGGTACTGTGCAGCATGTGCATGGGCGAAGCACCTGTAGGAGAAAGGGCATACTATCAACTTCTCAAATATACTTTGCAGGAACCAATCTTCAAGGATCCTACATATTCTGTTATTTTATTTCAAACTAGTTTCATCAGGTTGACTCCCCCCTGAGTCTGACTCTGCAGGAAAGCTGTAGAACTCTGTAGTACATCACAGATACCCAATTGCCTCAGTCGTGCCACACCAGAGAGAATAGTCACTGGAGTGTGTGGAACAACAAGAGGACTTAAATTGAAGGAGAGCCACTCAAACCTGTTTCAGTAGTGATCTTACTATATTCCAAACACTGAAAAAACAATCTGTGTACAAAGGACTGATCTTGTAAATTTTTAGATCTGGGTGGTCCTTGACACACAGTCCTAGTGCATGGACCTAAGTTAAACACTTCAGATAGGAGAGATACTTCAATATTTGTCTTATAAGCTATATTTTCCTGTATTTCCATGTTGTAAAAGTGTTGCAAAGTCAGGTTGTGTTCATAAAATGTAGATTGGTGAGAAGAATAAATAAATAAATTGCTGTATGCAAGCAGAGGTTATTTAAGCAGCATCAACTTTTCCTATACTGAAACTCACTTGGATGTATGAAAAGACTTAGCAGCATAAAATACACACCCTATATATTCTTAAATACCTTGCAGTCTGTACCTTGAGAACTCTGAAAAACAGGTTCTTACAGATATTTTTACGTGTTCAACTATTGGTAGGTTCATGTTTCTGATAAAGTTTTCAAAGGGTTTTTCATAGCTCTCAAATGTGCTGTGTTTCTGCTTCACCTAAAAGCATTCATCGTGCTCAGATTTCTCTTTCAATTGAATTAGTTTTTAGAGTGGACTGATAAGAGATGTTGTCATTTGAATATTTTAGAATGCTGGAAGTAGAGGTTACACTTTGGTGAATACTTCCTGCATGATTTTATTAACATTTGCTGTACTTAAGTTTTAAGATTAAAAGCATTTAGATTAATGTAATGACCAAATGACATTTAGGATTGTCTTTTGCATCCAAAAAAGCAGGCATTGGAAAAATCAGGTAAATAATTAATTGAATAGCGTAAAAAAAATACTTATGTATTAAATTGTACTTATGTGCATTAATTATTCAGATACCCTCCATTAATGTTTGGATTTTGCTTTCTAGATTTGCAGGACACATTTTCCTAAAGCAGCAAGCTGAACTCCTCTTTCTTAAGGAGGAAAAAAATACTTAAACTTTCTACAGGTCAAAGGCCATTAAAACTTTTGTGTATGGCTTAATTTATTCAGTCAGTCATAAATGGTTTCACTTTTACAATATCTGAATGAAGTAATTTTTTTTCATTAATATTTTGCTATCAACTATTTCTAGGAAATATAAACTAGATATAGAAAACAAAAACTTTAATATAATTGTTTCTTTAGGTTTAGAAGTCTTGATTTCAGAAACTGAACCAGTTCAATCTCTTTTCCTAGCAATGACCTTGATGCTGCTGTGGAATACCTTGAGCCTCTGCTTATCTCTGGTGCACAGAATCCTGATCAAGCTGTCAGAAGTATTTCCTATTTGTTAAGAAAAGTGTCTGAGGAAGGATTAGAACCAGCTTTGGAAAAATGTAAGTTAATTGCAATGATATTTAAATATTCTGACTAGACAGAGGTGTTATGAAAGAGCTATTACATGTAAAACCTGCTCAGTCAGCATAAATCATGCCTGTGAAGTTTACAAAAGTGGCTTTTCAATCAAAGATTTTCCTTATGTACCCATCATTTTGCAGTTGGTGTGATGGCAGAACGACTGGCCAGTCAGTTTGGAATTTACAGACCTGTCACAGATCTTTTCCTTCAGTATGTCAGTGCAGACAGAGTGGATGATGCCAGATCGTTGATAAAGGTAATGACATAACAAGAGAGGTACAGAAATGCTTAGAGCTCTTCAAAGGTTAACTGAGAAATTGTCAAAAAGAGGTGTTGTATAGCACAGACTAGTACTGGTATGCATTTGAATTGCAGTGTGAGTAGCAGTGCACTGTTTAGACTACTCCAAACCATGAGCTACTATCAGTAGCCAGAGTCAAAGGGGATTTTGTCTTCCAATACCCTGAAGGAAATAAAGGAAGTATTTGTATATTGCAAATACTATTAAGTTTTCTGCTAGACATCACTTGTTTCCTGCAAACCATTTCCTTGCAACTTCTCACCTGATTTCTTAAGTGCTGTAAACATAATATCTTACAGCTGTACAGCTGCAAAACAGAAGCAGGCAATGTGTGCTTTTCATGGACCTTATTTCACTTGGCTGCTATAATATTGTAAATGCTGTATTCAAAGTTTATTAAGAGCTCGGTTTGCTTTCTATTCATTTGACTGTCACGGATGCATTAAAACCCAAATGTTGGTCTCTGGGTCACAGTCTTAGCTGAATTAGGAATTGAAACAGCTGCATTCATGCCATTTGTACAGAGCTAAAGGCAAAGACAAGCAGAGGTGGTTTGAACTGTGGGTGCTGGGATCTGCTCTGGCAGCATGCACAAATAAACCCTGTCAGAGAGTACGATCCAAGCAGGTGACAGTCCAGCAGTCATACTGATGTGTGTGCAGCATCCTGCCTCAAATTGAGGCCTCTTATCATCTCCTGGTAGTGCATGCTACTCATTTACCAGTTCCTGAGTATTTTAAACTGTTAAAGAAAAAGCTCCATCCATCAGATATTTCATGATATTCCGAGACCGTTTTTTGAGCAGAATGCATACCAACAAATGTATTCAGTTACTTCTGCTACAGCAGGAGCTTGTATTATTTGTATGTTCCCTTACTTTGCTTATTGCTTTGCCTAGATGGTCATCTGAGTATTAAATTAAAAGGAGACTCAACAATTTTGATATAAAACCCTCTTGCTGTATAGTTGGGAACATCAAAATGAAAAAAAAGTCTCAAGTTATTTTACCCTTCCTGATTTTTTGATTGAAATAAATTAAATGGAATGAGTGAATGAAAATTGCTCACAGTTTCTTGCCTTTGTGAAGATACAAGTTTTTGCATTTTTAAGTAAAATCTGTATGTTCTTAAAATTTTCAAAAATGTGGGATATTCGTTCATATATTCCTAAAACTTACTACAACAGCATCCAAATATTGGAATTACATTCATGGCTACAGTATACTTGAAATAAGATTGTATCCGCTATATCCTGGGGGAGAATTTCTTCATGTTAAGAATACTTCCTGCTTAGTGGATGGATATTCACAGATAAGCTTGAGTTGGAACTTCTTGTATATGAGAAAATTTGAGTTTTATACAGTGCAGGAAAAACTTTGAGCTGTGTTAAACATTTGTGACTGCTGTGTGGATCAAGTATTCTACTAATAGCTAACTAGAAATAGAATAATCACTCTCCATTGTTATTTTTTTGAAAAGTAAACCCACAATCTAAATTAACTGTTTTTCTTGTAATAATCTGAAATATTAGTGTATACATGGAGACTCCTTGCTTTCAAAAATGCATGTAGGAATCTATTGAAAAGTTCATGAAACAGCAGCAGTGTCTTTTATACTGTCTGGAGGGAGAATGCTTTTGCTGCTGAAAGTCAAAAGTGGTTTGTCATGAAAGGGGACTGTGGAAAACATTTCTCCAGCTAGACTCTTTCCTCTCAGAGCATGTACTGACAGTAGATGAGAATGGCAATAAAATGCTGCAAGTTTCTCCCGTCAATATTTTACCTCTATTTAGCACCATAAAGCCATTTTTTGTCAGAACACTACGAGTACATTTTTGTCTGTTTGGAATGAGGCTTCACATCTTCTCACCTGGACCTGAAAGACCTTGTTGAACCATATTTCACATACAGAACATTCATAATGACATAACCCAAAATTTCCTGTTTGCATATGTCTGCAACACTAATTGATTGTAGGAAACTCATGATATATGTATTTTTATATGCACAATATTCTCTTTTTGCTGTGCATTTTGGTACTGATATATTGCAGCTGGGAAAAAAAAAGAGAAAAACACTGTGCATTGTAAGAGTTTTAAGACTGACATCTTTGAGAAACATACACTAAATATTGTCTTGTATATTTTATTTTGACCTTGTTTCTATAGTAAGATAGATTTTTGATTTTTATCTAGTCTGTCTCAAACTTTTCTAAGTTCAACTTCTCTCTCAAACACTGTCTATTGCAGTTAAAGCCTTTTATAAAATAGAGAGATTGAAATCAGTCCTTTGTATGCATAAGTGTAGGTAATTATACTTTAAAGAGAACTTGCTTTGTACATTTTAATTTTTATAAAGAAACGAGCAGTTATCTCCCTGACACCTTATTAAATGTATAATTAACCTTATGATCCCTAGCTCACTTGTGAATGCTTGGCAGTATAATTGGAGAGGAATAGTGTTTCTCTTTTTCATTCTTTTGCAGTCCTAAATCTCATTTTTGTGGTATGTTGAAGTATTAGTTTAATTCTTTCCCTTATTGTTTTAAACAAACTATAGCTACTATTTTAAAAATGTTTACCAAAGAGGTGCATGAAATGAACTTGTTTTGTGATTGGTTTTTTGCTTTTCTTTTTCAATCTAATGGTCAATTACTTACCTCGTAAATAGATAATATATTAGGATATTATTTTAAGCATCTGTAATTGGAAATTTTCACCTTTTTGTTTATCACTAACCTACTCACATCTGCTACATTAATCATTTCTTTTTCTTCAGAGGTGTGGTGCAATAGCTCAGGAGAAGAGAACTTTAGGGAGTTTTATGTCTAGAGCAGCAACTAAACCTGGACAGGTATATTTTTTTTTCATGTATATAGTTTTATATATAACAGAATACAATTTCATCAACCTTTGTTAAAGTGTTTTGGATTTTGAACTTCACAGTTGACAGTTTTATTGGGTTTCTCAGGGAGGAGGGAGGTTCATTTGCAGAACTGGTTACATTTAAAGGAACAGTTTACATTATGGATCATGATGGAAAGGAGGGTGCACTTAATATTTTCTATTGTTTCAGTAATTTCCTACATTTCTGATGTTACACTGTATATCCTACAAACATTGTGCTTTAAATGTTTTACTGCATTATCCAGTTCAGTATCACAACCTGAAAGTACTTGTTTTATTGGCTACGTTGTATGAATACAAATGCAAGTTAAAACCTCAATCTCTCTCTAATGATAAAATGCTTCTATGTTTACATTAAAAGACACATTTCATATCACTTTTTGTGGTGGTTTGGACATCTGTTTGGATTCCTGGCTTTGTGCTCATTCCCTATAATTTGAAATGCTCTCACTGATGTTCTTGTTCTACTCATATCCCTCCCTCCTCACATGGCCCCTCAAAGTAAACCAGAAAAACAACCAACCAACCAAAAAAAAGACAAATCCAACACCCCTCCAACAAACAAACAAAAACCCTAAAAAACGAACAAAAAAGTCCTGAATACCCCCCAAATCCAATATTGAACAACAACAATAAAACCAAACAAACAAAAATACGAAAAAACCACCCCAAAAACCACACATGCATGCAAAACCACATTGATTTTTTTTTCATAGATGAGCAGCATTGGGAGACAGCCAACACACAAACTAGAATAAGTATTTTTCAAATGAGGAAAATGCACATTTACATTTTGTGGAAATTAACATTAAATACTCAGAGATTAAAAGTTCTTCTGTTGAAGTGGTGATGATAAATATGATTATGATAAACACTGTCATTTGGTATCTGTAGAAGGAGCTAAAAACCTTGAATGTTTTTAGTTTGTCAAGCAGAAATTTTAGTAAAACATTTAAGTTAATAGTATGTGATAAAGATGTTAATAATTTCAATAAACTGTTTTTAATTCAAAATAGAGAGTTTTTGAAACTGGAATCAGAGGTTGAGGGAGGGAGGCCCCAAATTTAAACACATTAGTTAGTGATCTAATGCTTTTTAAGCATTGATCATAGCTACCATTGACCTCTAGGTCAATGAAGGCTGCTGAGTGTTTTACAGTTTTTTTAAATTGGTTGAAATCCTTACGTATTCTCATTAATACATTAATTGCTTACTTGAAAAAAAAAGAGACAGTAATATTTAGGCTTCTGGAGTATGGATTTTACTCCTATATTATATTAGTTACATTTTTTGTAACATTCCTTTTACTGTTTCATTTCTGCATACAGAATTTTGGGAAGGAAATTATGATGTCCTCTCTCAGGCTCACAGGTCCATTCCTTGTTATCAGTACACTTCATTTCACTTCAAAGCTGTGAAGTCATTGTTCTAAGTCATTGTTCTAACTTTGGTGATTCTGTTTTGTTCTTTAAGATTTCAAGTTAATGCTCTTTTTGTCTGTGCATTAAATTTCACAGGCAAAGGTGATTGAAAGACTTCTAGAACTGATTCCTGAGCATCTAGATCCAGAAGTGGCATACCGATACCTCTTGAGATGTTATGGTAATTTACTCTCCTTGGAATAGTTTCTTTTAGTAAGAACTCTTGAGACATTCAGAAAGGTCATGGAAACCATTATAAAAGGGAATAGGGTCTGCAATGTGTAAGTAGCTTTACAATTGGAATCATAAAGATATGCTGGGGTATCTGAGGTTTTTGTTGTTTAAGTCTGTTGGGTGTGTGCGCTATCCTGGCTATTAGGATGGAAGAGCAACCAACTGACACATAGAGGGTAAGCAGGGGCTTCATGGAATACAAAGGAATCCATCCTAACCCATGGAGAAAAATACTGTAGAAATGAATGGCTTTTAAAATGAATCTAGCTTTTTTCCCAAAAAACGTGGAGAAAGTATATTGGGTCCTTTTTATGTGTGTGTGTGTGTGTGTGTGTGTGTGTGTGTGTGTGTTCAAAAATTGCAAGTGATCAGTTCTATCAGTAACGTGAAAGAATCTTACTGTTATTAGTGTAGATTTTTATACATGTTGTAATTTAGCCAAAGTTAATATTGCAGATGCCTTCATTTGAATTTACATCAATAGTTGAAGTGCTCATCAGTTCTCTTTATAGTTAAAGTCAAAATGAGCACCTCTAAAAAAAATCAAATTTTGTTTATTTGCAAGACTCTTCAAAAACCAGGACATACAGCCCCTGTGGCAACACTCAGCTGGAAGCTTGCACCTCTGCTGTAGGGTCCTTTGCTTTGGGTACTCTATCATCTTCCAGTTTTATTACAGAGAGTAAATACATCCCACATGTGTGTTAGAAGCAAAAAAATACAATGACAGAAGTCCTTGTGCTCCAGTCTATCACAGAGGAGATAAACAGGAATAATTAGGTAAAATACTTCGAACTTAAATCCAAGGTATGGTGTTAAAGGAATATATCCTTATTGAATCAAGTTGTAGAAATTCCCATGATGTGGTATCTAACTTATGAAGTTTGCTTGCTTATAAACATTCCAAACAGCAATCACTACCAAAATCGTTTAGCCTTGTGGCTTCATTCACAGCAGGATAAGTTTTCTAACATGTTTTTATAAGACAAACAATGCCTTTCTGTCACCAACACTGTACTTGCTGCTTTACACTATCATTACCTCTTCGCTGCTTTTACCTCAGTACAAATTCCGTAAGTGAACTAATCAGCTTTTTCAGTATCCTTCCCAACTACATCATAGTACAGCAGTTTCATAGATTGCAGAGAATCAGTCACATGCTCTTTTATACCTGAAAGAGTGATTAGAGTGTATTCAACATATGAAGCCACACTGTTATGTGAACAGATGGTTGCTGTGCTCTCTTTAGGCAGAGATGTAGGTGGCTCATAGCGAGTTCTAGAGGAGACATTCAGTATCAGCATGGACAGTTTTAAAAACTGTTCCCAGGTTATTCTGTGCGAACACCTCACCTGTATGAGACATTGATCATTTGACTGTTAAAGTGATCATCAGCAAAATATTTAGCACAATTGAAAATCAGAAGGCTGTGCTTAAGTTGTTTTCTAGCCACGAGGGGTAGAAATAAGGTATTTTAAATAAAAGAATTTTTTTAGTGTATATTTTAAAACTAATGAGCTTTCAAACATGATTTCTTATTTTGGGCCAATTCCAACCTTGTATTATCATAATTTTCAAGAGAACAAATGATTCTCCTTTCAGGCCATTGTTATTTTTAGTTAATTAGAAAGGGGAATGAAACATAAGAGTGTCATATTTCTACAGTTTCTTACTGTTGCTAGCTATCAAAATAAATGGACAAATAAAATTATAATTGTTTATATGTTTAGCAGAGATATAGTAGAGTATAGATCACAGCTGAAAGAAGTCTGATCATATATCAGACATCTGTGACAGAACAAATAAAAGGACATTTACTTCTTTCCTTGTCTTGTGATGTGATCCACTGCCAGGGCTAGCTTTCCTTTATCTGGTGAGATGCATAATCCTTTGCTGTATACTTTCTAGAAAAAAAGAAATATGTAAAATCACATTTGTGTGGTCCATTAAATGCAATCTAAGTATTAGCTCTTTTTGTTGGTGTTTCCCATACAATAAATCTATTTTAAAGAAATAGAAAGTGAACTATTTCTATTATGCTTTCATTAAACCGTCATTTCCTGCAGTTTTTGCAGTAGCCTCCCACGTTCAAAAAGGAGCTCAGCCATTTCCCAGATGTGAGTGGGAAGCTTTTTCTCACGAGAAAGGGACACAAGCTATCCATTTCTGCATAATTACAGCTTTTTTCTTTTCTTTATGAACCATTGTTTTTATAGCCCCTGTGGTTGCGAAGGTGGTGTTTCCAAATGTGAACAACTAAAACCTAAGACAGCTCTCATGCTGCAGGTGTTTGCGTTTTGCCAAGCAGCAGAATGAATTCAACTGGACATGATGGCTTTCTTGTTGTTCACAAGGTGCTAGGAACAGTTGTACTGTTTCTAGGAGCCTGAGGGCAGCAGGGAAACTGTCAGGGGTCACTTCAGTTTCATCCTGATGCTTCTCGAGGAAATGTCTGAGCAGCAGAGAAGTCGATGGTTAAGCATGAGTCAATGTAGTAGGAGGAGTTCCTCCCCTCTCCCACTTTAGAGGAAGGAGAAATACATTCCATTCCAGCTAGAAGTTAATAATGCTTTAAATAAATGAAGAATGGATTAGTTAGAACCTGTTGTAGGGGGTGGTGCCTTTCATGGAATATCCTGAAAAATGTCGTTGGTTGCCTAAGTATTTAAGGTTTATAATGAGTTAGTGGGTCAGCAGAACTTTTTTCCTGCTCAATAGGATGAAATGGCTTTCAATTTGGGTTCTAAAATGATCATATGACCTTTGTTTTGTTTGTTCCTTTAGGTTCTAGTTTTGATGTAGCCAGCACCTGAAACCATAACAATCAATATTCTGCCCTTACTTAAGGGAATAAAATTCTGTTCTAGAGTCTTCTAGGCTGAATTTGGGTGACTTATGTTTTAGCTTTTGTTTTTATTTTTTATCATTTGTGTGTTTACACTGTGCAACTCCTCCTCCTTTGTGGTTCCAGCACATGCTTGAAGGAACTGATTATCTAGCCTCAGGTGAAAAGGAATGGCTGTATGTAAACTGTGTGATGTAAATTGTCAGTAGGATACAAAGAATATCCAGAATATTTAGAATATTGTATATTAAAATATATAGATTATTAATATATAGAATACAAAGAATATCCAGAATATTTAGAATATTGTATATTAAAATATATAGAATGTGTTTTGGCAAGTAGTAGGAATGCATGACATCATGGAAGCAGGTGAAAAGACAAAGAAGTAACCACTGGGATTTTTTGGGTTTTATTTTTTTCCTCAGAATTGGATGGGGATGTTGCATCTGCAAAGGCTGTGTATGAGAAAACAAAAGCAAAGAATATACAGCTACATGAGCTATCTCTGAAGTCTTTAGCAACTTTTCTGAAGAAAGTAGGAGAGCCTGTCCCTTTCACTGAACCCCCTGTGAGTATTTCCTAATTAAGAAATAGATCTGCAGAGTTGCGTATGTTCAATGTTAGCAAAACAAATTGCATGAATAATTAAATAGGGACTAGGTCTCTGCAGAGACTCCTCAAAGGAGGTAATGTATGAAGTCCTGAGCGTTGTAGGAGCTATAGTAATCTTGCATGGGATTTGACTTCAGGAAATAAAACCTCTTGGGGCTTACGATGTTTGAACTACCTCATTGTTATCAGGCACTCATCTACAGGTGTACCTTTATCAAATTTCCTTGGGGCATTTATCTAAGCAATTGAACTTGAAAAGGCTTACAGAATGGGTATTTCATTAGCAATTAATGGCTTTTAGTTTTCATTAATTACCTGTTTTGTGTCCAGTACAAGTTGCTGCACTAGTAGGGTGGGATTTTAGAACTGTAGGAATTACATTCCTATTGCAGTGTTGCTTCTTGCTGCCTGGCCAACATATGTATGCAAATGTGCAAATATATGTTACTTGAGGGTGGCAAGTGGCATGATGCTAAATCTGTCAAGACCGCAAATAGTTGTACATCTTTGGCTAAAAGTCTATTAGTACCATTTTTGCTAAGCAGATTTTAAAGACTTATTGTATTTTGCCTCTCAAAGCAAACTTCTAATTCCTATTTTCTCACCACTTTTTATATTCTAAAACAAATATTTTTCTATAGTTCTGTAAAGATCTGATTATATACTGTTTCTCCACATTGCTTCATGATAAATATGATTTTCTTTTCTAATTTTGTAAAGGATTGGAAAAAATTTTGGCATAAAATATGTGGTTTAGCCTTTCAACAGCTATGGTGTGTTTTTCTGCAGCTTTGACATAATTTAGAATCTACTTATTTTTTTGACTGTGAATTTAAAACCTAGAATGTCTGTTTCTTGTATGTAGCTAGTGAAAATAAGAGTGTTTTTTCCAGGTCACTGAGATGATTCATTTTCTGATTTCCCTGTTCAATTTTTCTCTAATGCAGCTTGGTCTTTAAAAGCATCTCAATTTTTTTGACACAATTGCAGATTGCAGTTAAGAAGTATTTTCATTTTAAAAATGAAATTGATTATATTATTGCATTTAGTAAGAGAAGCTTCATTATGCATTTTTGGCAAGGTTTTCCTTTTCCTTTTATTCACTCTCTCTGGTATTTCTCTTAATTATACAGACTTCAATACAGATCTAGTTTTGCATGACAGAGAATAACAGATTTTGTCAGGACATAAGACTTCGTTCAGAATTAGTAACTTTACAGTTGAAACAATGTTGAACTTGTTTATTCTACTCTATTTATAGGAGACATTCAAGTTTTATGTGGAAAAATGGAGGAACAGAAGACTGGAAGCATCATGAACAGACGGTTTTATGATTTAGTTGTTTATGAAATTGTTTAAATATTACATTCAATAAAAAATTTAAAAAGCATGTTGTCATGTGTAATTTTTAATTTAAATCTGTGACTAACAGCACTTTCCGTGACTGCAATTGATAGAAACATTCATTAATAGAAATGCTGTTAAAATTGCTGATGTAATACAAGATGCAGCCTTCTAGGATATTCCGTTTTGGTGTATGATCTGCTATAACTTTTTCTGTCTTTCTGCTTGTGTTGATTTGCCAGATATGTGTATATCAAGAAGGTTGCTGGAGGGGTGTGTAACTGTAACTTAAGCAGACTGTCCTATCCTTTGTTGTTCTTTGCCCGGTCAATGTACTTTGGGGTGAAAGTATAAGGGTAAGGAACGTCATCTTCAACATTCAGCTGTATCTACATAAAAAATAAACATGTTTTTATAAGTTTTCTCCCAGTTGTACTTTCTTGTGTTAAGTATCTCATTTGGGTGTTTGATATTACATGGAAGGAGACAAAATACTTCCACCTCTTACACTGGCTTGTGTGTTGTAGTTCTGTACATCTTCAATTCATTCTCATAACTCTAGGCCCAGTTAATTTTATGGGTACAAGAACTGCATACCCATGAAAACATGCCCTTTAAACAAACCAGTGCCCATTATTTGCAGGGTAGCAGTTTTTACTTGCTGGGAGACTGGTAGGCACACTTTGTACGAATGTGGGAGTAAAGTTATTCTGATGTGATGTTTTACAGTCTGGAGTTGTGTGGCCATGAAAATAAGATGCATATAAATTACAAAGGTGAAACAGTAAATAGAAAATACAGCCATTATCTCTGTGAATAATGATGGAAAGTCTCATATGTGCACATTGGTATAACTAATGGAACACATTGCCTATGCAGTTCGAAAGCTTGTTTCTGTGCATTTCATAACTTTGTTTATTAATCTTTATATTTTCAACCTTATCTTAACCTTGTCTTTTTTAAAAAGACAAATTCTTGTGTGCACACAAGGTTTTGGCAAAATGTTGCAAGACTCATAGTTTTGCAAGTAACCTGAAGTTAAAAAAGAAATTAATACCTAATTTTTTTAAAAGTGAAATTTACAATTTAATCAACTATTTTATTGAAAAACACACAGGAAAAAATCCTGCTGTACTTTAAAAATGAGATTTCACTAATCAGGAGCGGGGAGAATGGTAAATTTTGTGTTCCAGGCAACCAGGATGAATACTAGCAGTGCCTGCTCCATCAGTGGTGTGGTTTTACAGTGACCTTCATCACTTCACAGGCATAGCTCAACAACATACGGCAGCTACGTGGCTCGAACCGTCTGGCACCCTTTGTTCCTGGGTTGTCAGGATAAGGCATTAACATTTGAAATTTCATTCATAGCCTAATGGTTGTGTGCCCTATCTGAAAGCAAGCCTAGCCAGGACTCAGTTTATTTCATTTCACAAATGGAGATGGTTCTTTTTTCTGAAGCTGCAGCTACATTACATGTGTTTCAGTGTAATAGCAGCATAATTGAAGACTGTGTCAACTAGTTGGCAACCCTTTCTCTAGTGCCACAGCTCTTGTTTTTAGAGGTCATCTCGTGAATCTCTCCATTTCACATGTTCCTGTAAATGGAGTCACAGCTGACTGTAACTGGAGGTAATGGGCATGTGTGCTGCTGGAGCTGAACTAGCACAAGGGATAAGGAAGAGAATATTACTTGGAGCAAACACCAGGTCATCACAGAGGAAGTTAACAGCAGACCTGTGGATCCTGACTCCCTTTTTGACAAGGAGGTGGAATCTCATGTGGCTGTGGATCAGGCACTGCACCCATTGGTAGCCTGTGCTGTGATACCGACAGGTCATGTTTGCTGGCTGCTGCCCTCTGAGACAGAAAGCAGCACACAAGGCTGCAGCCAGATGCATGGCTGTGTGTTGCAGGTGTCCATGATGGGCCATGATTGCTGTGAGTTAGCATTTGCATTTTCCTTCTAGCTGGTTTCACTTGAATTCTACCAGAATCATGCCCTATAATTGAATTGTTACAGTTGTGGAAATAGAAAGTAAATTTGACAGCCTGTAACTGAACAATATAAATGAAATTTCTTCAGCTCCAAAATTGCCTTTTGAGTGTCCTCATGGAAAGTTATGGGCTGAGTGTGCCGGCTGCTGAGCTGGTTAAATGTCAAGGAGGTGCTGCAGGAGCATGAGACCAAACAGAACCAGCGTTTCATGGCAGCAATGACAGGGCAACGGGCAAAAGGACAAGCTGATCATTTGGGATCGCGTGGGAATTGCCCAGACCCATGAAGCCCTGTGGTATAAATGGGAAGGCAGAGATAATTCAAAGGATGGGCTGCTGTTGTGTGATACTACTTCTGATTCCCTGTTCGAGTAAATGTTTCATATACAGTTAAGTGATGATATACACAGAGGAGTACAGTCTCTCCTGTCTTTAAAATGTGGGCCATTGAGGGATTTGTGCCACTCTGGGACACAATCATCTCAGTCTGAAACAAGGTTATACCGGGAAGGTTTTGCGGAATCGGCATTTGTGCCAACTCTTCAAGAACACGCTTGAAGTGATAATATTTCTTGTGCATCGGTGTGCTGAGACTCAACCATTTCAAGCATGAAGAAAAGTGCAGTTTAGAAGGTTGGCATTTATTCACCAAATAAGTAGGCGGTTTCATTATTTCTTCATATTCAAAAAGAGAAACCTGCAACATGACAAAATGCAGAATGGCAGCCTTGTGAACTTGTCGTGGTGATTTACTAGTCCAGATACCAAACGTACTCCATCACACTGACCATAGCATGCACCCCTCTAAAGCAGAATAGAATTATTTACCACCAGCTAGTGCATAACTGGGATTGTGCAAGATCCAGACCAGGTGCAGTGTCTGAGATAGGAGCGTGCCTTTCCAGAGGCCTCTGTGGGAAGCTGAGAGCCTGCTGACATGAAATGACCTGACATGTTACTGTAGAAAGCAAATTGTGGGAGTGTGTATGGGTTTGCATAATCATGTGTCTTGACTGGGCTTGAATTGAGATGACTTAATCTCACTTCTCTGCCCTGCGCCACATTATGGGTTTGCCTTTTCCCCCACTCCCCTTGAGGCAGGGGGAGGAGGAAGAGACTTTTGGGGTGTCAAGATCAACATGGGAAAAGTTTCCATGTTAACCACCAATATAGTCATTTTGCAGCATGATAATTACATGCTGTAGTTTTATCCTTATCTACTAAAACAGTTCATTCAACTCATTGTCTCCTGAGACCCTTTTCTGTGGCAAGAACTGTAGCTTGGTAGGCTTGTAGCTGTCTTTAGACTTTCTTAATATGTACCCACTGTTGAAAATGGAGTAGCTGAATGCATTGTGTCTCTGGCAGTGAGAGTCATGGGGGTTTTATAGATTGAATGCCTGAGTCAGCAGGATTCCAGCTGCAGTTTACATGACAAGGGAGGATCATAACCATGCAGGTAGAATCACGAGTGCACATATTGACAGAGAAGCAGACTGGTAGTGTGGGCAGACTGGGGCACTACTGTATTTATTGCTTTTCTTGAATGCGTGATGCTTCCGGACTCCCCAGGAACACAGCAGAGGAGAAAGTGACAGAAGTGATGGATGTGACCAGGAGGTTTTGCTGTTCAATGTGAGAAATTTGTCAGCACCTAGAAGGAATGTCCAATTTCCTGCACCAGTTTATTGTTACTGTAAAGGTGAAAAAGGTAAACATGTAAGAAAAAGCTGAGACTGTCATTGAATTTAGCCCTTTATTAAGCAAAGATTTCTCTGCATTTCTTAAAATTATTCTCATAATTTCTGTATAAAGTCAACTGCCAAAAGATATTTCCTTTCCAGAATGGCTTCAGCCTCTGGTGGTTTGCCAGTGCTTCTGTGAACCAATAATCAGAGGAAACCGAATATCCTTTTAAGTCACGGGCTCCTACTGAGACTGTAATTCAGTCTGAGGGCATCTTTCTGAGTGTATGTAGATCCTCAGCTACAGGAGCAAAATACTGGGTTTCCCATTAGATATGGAAATAAGAGCAGATATGGAAGTTTGAGGTTCGAGTTTTCTCTACTGTTTCCTGTAATTAAGAAAATGAGATAATAGAAACTGTCTAATGCAGTGCCTGCTATAGACGGGGGTTCCACATTGATCTACTTTTAGATAAAGCTATTAATGCAAGGTTTCTCTCTGATACTCCTAAACCTCTATATTGCAATTGGCTGATGCTTCACAATTTCTCACGTGATTACTCTTGAACACCATGATAAAGCAGTGGTATCTGTAGAATTGAGATTGCAGTGATTGCTACAGACCTCTCTGTAGCTCTGTGTTTGTCTTAATTTCCTTCAGCTGCAAGTGCCAATGAACTCAAGGTTCAGAAGGCAGCAAACCTCAGTCTCTCACAGCGATGAGCCTTGACAACCAACAGCAAGTTTAATTCTTGGTTTTGCAAGTAGTTTGCATCTGCTGTTCTTCCCATAGTCCAGGAAACCAGGGCAGATCTGAAAAGTGAAGTTGTAGATAAGAGATAAATCTTGAGGGGAGGAGTAAAGGGTGGACTTTAAGATAGAAAACAGTTTGGACTGGAGAGAAAGTAGGTGGGTGTGGACAGGACAAAGTCATCCTGACCTCCTTTGAGGCTGGCAAAGGCAACTCTGAAATGCTTCTTGGGTGCTGGATTTTTATTTATGGGAGGTGGGCTGGGAAGAATGTTTGTCAAAGTATAGGACCACTGCAGAGGAACTCTGGAGGGATGGGAAGTATGGGCAAAGGGGGAAGGGTGGGTGTTGGTCCTGTGGGTCTCATTAAGATGAGTCCAGCAGCTTCATCAAGATGCTTAGGCCTGCTTGGATTGGGAGTAAAGGACCATGAGGGAGCAAGGAGGAACCCTCAGCTTGTTGGCTGCTGTGGTCGATGACACATCGATGACATCGATGTCCTTGGCGATGACCAAGGATCCTTGCCTTTCTTATGACTCGCACTGTCTCCTCTTCAACCACTTCTCCTTGATGTTTGCTGGAGAAGAAGGAAGTGGCAGCAGCAAGGACTGTAAGGGTGTGTTGGCTGCTAAGCCCAGCTCAGTGAAGGACAAGGCCCTGAAGGACTAATCAGAGCTGCTGAGCCAAACCTGGTCCTAATGCCTTTCTACCATGGGGAGTCGGGATGGTACTAGTCCTGTAATCACAGCTGCTTGACTGAAGGAACAGGAGCATCTTCATCTGCCACAAATACCAAAGGAAGTTTGTTCCAGCAGCAGCCTCTTCAACCTCTCCTCAAATTCAAAAGCAACTGTTAACTGTTAGGAGTAAGTGTGTTGTTAGTGTAATTTGGGGTTCTTCTTCTAAAAAGAAGTCTGAATACGGGGCAGTGTGTGGCACTGGGACCATCACTGTTTCTTTGCATGTTCTGATACTGAGATTGCAGCCTGAG